GGCATGACATTAGCATAAACTGAAATTCTGACTTGAACTAAAAATAAGTGAACTCTTTTGCTAAAATGGTAAATGGCCAAATTTTAGTTAAAATGTTGGGAAAGTATTAATAGTAAAGATGTAAAAAATATATTTAACATGTTTATTATTTTAGGGCTTGTGACGGAGAAAGGGAAGAAACGGAAAGTCTTATGAAGAAAGTGTAATGACCAGTTTTGCACCAGGAAGAGAGAAATAAATAACATCACAGCAGAAACTGGGTTACACATGAAGGAGAAATTCCCTTATCTCATAACGCTCGATAGATTATCACTATGAGAAATCGTAAAAGTTACTGACATAATCATTACTTTGAGATAACTACTTAGCCCTAGCTGGTTTGGCTCAGCCTATATAACCACCTTGCCTGCCTCAGAAAGAAGCAGGAACATAGAGCATTGGCCTGTGGACCGAAGGGTCCCGGGTTTGTTTCCAGTCAAGGGCACATGTTTGGGTTGCAGGCTTGGTCTCCAGTGGGGGGCATGCAGGAGGCACCCAATCAATAATTCTCTCTCATCATTGATGTTTCTATTTCTCTCTCCCTCTCCCTTACCCTCTGAATCCAATAGAAATATATTTTATATATATGTAACTACTTAAACCCAATCATACACTTTCAAAATTCGATGCTCATTAGATCAACTCTTAGCTCTTCACCAACAGCAAGCAGCAGATACATGGAATATTAGCATTTAGAAATTCAAGGGAAAAAAAGGATTAAGCCCCACTGAATATTCTATGAATAACACTTACTTATTGAAATGGGTTTCTTGATACAGATTTCTCTGTATTAGAAAGTACTGTTCTCTAACACTCCCCATTTTATTGGAATCGAGCACATAATCCACTCTACTATCTCCGTTACCTCTGGACCGTATTCCAAGTGCTACATGCTCTCAACATACCCGACAAGCCTCCTGACGGGTATGTTTTACTCAAAAGTGAAAACCGTCCAAAGATTCAAGTTTTAACATTCTTGACTAACCAGAACTTGGTCTTCAGACTAAAGGGCTTATTCCTCAAAACAGGATTCCAGATGGTTTGCATCCCGGGGCCCCTGAGCAAGAGCACGGCCTGACATTAAGCACTGATCCTGCGATCCGATGGAAACTTTGGCCAATTTATTTACGCATTTACTTTTTTTTTTTTTTTTTTTGCTAACTTGCTCATGCCAGATACCCTGGAGAGCAAGAGAAATGCTCTCCAGGCTATCCTATCCAAAAAAAAAACACGCTTAATGCTCCATAACTTAGAAATGCAAAGTGGGCATCCAATGACCCTTCTATAGAAAGCTTCATGGGTTACAGGAGAGAAAAAAATAAATAAATAAAGATCCGGCCACACTTACATTTTACCTTTAAATGCGTATTAAAATATCTACACAGCCAGGTTGCCTCCCAGAGTCAGTGCTTATCTGGAGCACACTAAGCTTCAGAAATCAAGGGCTTATCACTGGAAAAGCAAGAATATAATTGGAAAGGAGGTGTCTGTAGCAATCTCTAATCATGGGTGTCCGCAACCAAGGTCTGCAGGGATTCCCAGATCCTGCCGCTGGCCTGGGAAAGCCTGTGCGACCCTCGCCGGCCCCGGGAAGAGCCAGGCCCACAGAAAGCAGCTCAAGCACCTACCAGCACGCAGCGTAGAGGAGCGCCAAGACCCAAGAAAAACTTACATGGTAACTTACATGGCGGCGGGGATAAGCCATTTCGATTTAAAGTGCCCCCCATTAACACAAAGTTCATCTCCTCAGCTGAACACTGGAAGACTTCCACGTATCGGTCCTTCATGGTCTTTTTATGGCACTTCTGTGCGGCCATGAACGCTCTGTCCGCCGACTTCATCTGGATGAAGGCGTCTCCCGAGGGGCGGCCCTGAGCGAGGGGGGGGGAGGGAGGAGGGAGGATAAAAACAAAGCGACCGTCACCCAGAGCACAGACGCTGCAGGCATCCGCATGCGGGTGGCCGTGTGAGGGGCTGAAGTCTGGCCTGCATGTCACCCCCTGATTACCGGAGGGGCCCCCAGAACACGGGAGAAACGGTGCTGAGGGTTTGTGGGGAGACAGTGGTCCCCCCTGGTCTCTGAGGAGGGTCAGATTTGGGAAGGCTTGAACAGGTCCTCTTAGGGTTTGAAAGCACAGGACTGTGCACTGGTACTGGGTCCTGCCCTTCTGGAAAGTCCAATGACGACGTCTGATTGAGAAAAGCCGATAACAGAACCCGTACTAGAGCTTTCTGTGTCCTCCTTCAGAAACTGGAGAACGAGTGCTCTGTCCATCACTGACCACCACACCCCCTTTCCTGCTCCCTGCAGCCGAGGCTGGAATGCGGCCTGAGGCCAGGAAGGGAGACAGGAAATGGGCAGCTGCCAAGCACGGGGCAGGTTGGTTGGGGACAGCAGTGTCGCCAGCCTTGCACGGAAGCCCTTCTCTCGCCTCTGCCCACCCATCTCCATCTGAAATCTTGTTCAAAGAGGTGCTGATCGTAATTTTCCCCATTACAAATAGCTTGCTAAAAATCTCCTACTTAGAACCAAGCGGATAAGATGTGTTCCTCAGAACTGAAATGCCTCGGTTACATTTAGCATGGACATTTTATGAGGGGAGAAAAAAAGGTACAATCAGCTCCTAGGAATTCTGTCACAGTGATGGATGTCTTTACAAGCCTCCCAGGGACTATTTCGTGCCAATGCTTTACCATGCAAGTCACCCTACGAGCTGCCATACCAGAGACACCCAGTCCGAGAGGGAAACCCACCATCCTCAAGTCCGCTAAGAGCCTGTCCACCATCTCAGCAGCACAATCACAATAGGTCATGGGGGTCAATGACAGGTAATTCTACTATTATTAGTTCAAAAGTAATAATAGCCCCTAGGTTATTAGAAATGGCGACTCAAAGAAAAACCAAACCAATCACTGGTGGGATTTATGGGCAATTGTGGGGAATTTTCTTCAAAAGGACTCTCTCCCATGAAGCACACTGAGAGGGGGCCTAGTGTGAGCTGGTGTGAACACCTAGCTGGGGTTCAGGACTTTCTGACTGCCTGGACCCAGTGACATGCACCTCCCAGGGAGGCAGGATATGGTTTAAATATGACCAAACCTTCATGTGAAAGGAGAAAGTGGGACACTAGCAGAACGTTGGTATTTCCAATGCAAACTTATTGTAGATTCCACCCATCACAGAAATCAGAAACATCTCATTTTCAGAAATGAATACACCTTTGCTTTTAATGAAGAGCTGCAAAATTTTTAATTAGGACTATGGGGTTTATAGGTTTTGAGGATTCTGTCCTGCTTATGACAGCACAAAATACTGGCATACTGTCCAGCAACAAAGACGATTAATTGTATTTAAACCCAAAATTAAGGAACACTAAGCCAGGAATGATTTTTAATGTGCTTAGAACGTATACTTGCATATCATAGAATTTGGTTAGATTTTGATAAGTTTCTATTAAATAATCAATTCATTAATATATTTGAGTGCCTATTATGAGCACATCCTATTCTAGGTGGTACAGATACTAGTCTTTATTGAGTTTGTACATTACTGAATGTAATTTGTTATCACACACACACACACACACACACACACACGTTTTCTAAGCAGTCTATACAAAATACTCTTTCCCCCCCCCCCATGCTTGTCTCCAAGACCTGAAACTGACAGCCACCATCAGCCAGTCAGTGTGGTGGCCGTGGGGCTGCTGTCGCACTGGAATGGAACCCGTCAGCCACAGCACGGCCACAGGTCACGAACAGCGCTGTGCAAAACGCTCCTGAACAGACAAGCCCCTGGGCAAGCATTGTCTATGATTGCTTTCACACTAACTAAGCAGAGCTGCAGAGCTCGGAAGTTGCAACAGTAAAATGTTGCACTAGACTGGTACGTGCTACGTGATGATGCTGAATCAGACCCAAATTGGTATTACCATAGCGATGGCCGCACCCTTTCTGGAGTTCGTCCTCAAGACCTCTCGCATGTATAGTTACATCTTCCCTGCGAGACTAACTGTAAACCTGAAAAACGTTTGTACTCTCTTATGGAGACTCTTTGATGCTAAAAAATAAGCACCTGCCGTCCTCACCTGGTGGTTCAGCACCATGTGAACGCCATGCGTCCGGATGTCTGTGGAAAACTCGCCCAGGAAGTCCAGGATGTCTTCGATGGTGGCGGCGTAGGGAAGCCCTCGGAGGCGGACGCAGTCTCTGACGTTGGTGGGCGGCACAAACTGCTGAGGTAGAACCGGGATAATGGGCGGGGTTGGCAGTGGAATGAGAGGAGCTGCCGAGGAGAACCGATTCAGCACCTGCGCGCAAGGCAAAGCAGAAGGCACTCAGTCTCGCTTGCCAACGCTGTCTGCAGACCAGCCCTGGCATCGCGGGGGGAGGAGCCTGTGAGAGACGCATGATCTCAGCTCTAACCCAAACGTACTAAATATAAATCTGCGCCGAAACCGGTTTGGCTCAGTGGTAGAGCGTCGGTCTGCGGACTGAAGAGTCCCAGGTTCAATTCCGGTCAGGGGCATATACGTTGGTTGCAGGCACATCCCCAGTGTGGGGTGTGCAAGAGGCAGCTGGTTGATGTTTCTCTCTCATCGACGTTTCTAGCTCTCTATCTCTCTCCCTTCCTCTCTGTAAAAAATCAATAAAAAATATTAAAAAATAAATAAAAATAAATAAATATAAATCTGCACTTTAACAAGGTCCCCAGGTAATTCACAGCGTATTAACGTTTGAGACGCAATCAAGGAGAAAGGGCTTCGTGCTTTGCATCTGGGCCAGTGTGAGACCCACTCCTGCAAAAGTGTGCTGAGGTATATATACCACACACAGCACAAATCTGCTTGGATTAAGGACTTGTCTACTCGACAAACACATCTCTATCTGCCTTGGGACAAATCCCTTAAAGCCTATCACTTTCGTAAATATCCGGAATGGCTAATCATGGACTACTGTAGCAATCTATTACTTTCATTTTATTAAGGACAATATTCCCCTTAATATTGCTTCACATTGCTCCAAATCCAAGAAATATAAAAAGAATAACCCAGTAATGGAACCACAGGTAAAACAGTGACTCTGGATTATAATAAAATACAATGCCACACTTAAAAAGCAAATAATATATAAAGCCAAAACATAGAATGGCAATGTAAAACTGAAAAGAAAAAGAAAAATTAGTGACCATAAAAGTAACCATTTAGCTTCCACATGAACTTTAGACATGGGATGACAGAAGATCTTGACTTTTAAACACATGAAATTTAGCTATCTTGAGAATGAATCATGTCAAGTTCATTTTGGAGGGGAAAAACTGGTCCCACGCAAATTTCAAAGCTCTTGCCTATTTCTATCTTGGTTTAGAACATGCCCACTATTTGGTACTACTGTGCAGATGCCATGTGTGGCATCCCTGGGTTTTCTGAACAACTTACCATTGCAAACTTAAATATCCTATATACTGAAAATATAGCAATCAAGACACTCCTGAAATTTTGCCCTAATTTCCTCACTCACCCGTCATAGTTGCCGAGTAAGAGGTGACCGACAAACAAACAAACAAACAAACAAAAATCAAAGCATAAACACAGCAAAAGATCAGCTGCCTCCTGCACAGCCCCCCACCAGGGACTGATCCTGCCACCGGGCATGTGCCCTGACCAGGAATTGAACTGCTGATCTCGTGGTACAGGGATCGATGCTCAACCACTGAGCCACTCCGACCGGGCAAGATAGATACTTTTGAAACAGAATACAAAAGAATATCTAGCCGAAACTGGATTGGCTCAGTGGATAGAGCGTCGGCCTGCGGACTGAAAGGTCCCGGGTTCGATTACAGTCAAGGGCATGTACCTTAGTTGCGGGCACATCCCCAGTGGGGGGTGTGCAAAAGGCAGCTGATCGATGATTCTCTCTCATCGATGTTTCTAACTCTCTATCCCACTCTCTTCCTTTCTGTAAAAAAATCAGTAAAATATATTTAAAAAAAAAAAAAAAAAAAAAAAAAAGAACACCTATAGCAGTATTCCAGTTACATAAAAACACCTGGTATTTGTCTCTGTGTGTGTGTGTGTGTGTGTACACACAAGCTAACAGTGGCTATCATTTCGTTACAGAGTACGATTTTATTTTAACAACGAACAGTGTGGGGTTGGTTTCGGAAATAAGTAGAAATAATGCAAAACCACCACCATGCTCTTAAAAACCAACCTGCTGAACTTCAGCCGCTGTGCTCCTGAAGAGTTCAATGTATCTTTTACCCAACAAGTCCTTATGCTTCCTCAGTGCGTTCTGTGCATACTCCTCGCAAGCGAAGAGGACGAAGGCATCCCCTGTGGGCCTGCCGTCTGGGTAGGTGACGAAGAGGATGCCTTCCTTCCCCCCCGTGATGGGGCAGTGCTGTCCAAAGAAGGCCACCACTTCGTCCGCCGTGGCCGTGAACGGGAGCCCCCGCATGCGGACAATGACCTGGTTCTCCTTGGAGAGAAACTGGGCTACCTCGTTGGACGTACCTAGGAAACACACAGATTAGGAAGCAAGGGGAGAAATGAGTAAGACGTCAACTTCACCAAATCTGAAATGCTGAGCTTCTTGGCAATGTCTTGAATTTGTAATTAAGACCCCCCACTCCCAACTGAGTTTTTTAAAAAAACAACCCAGGAAAAAAGAATTCTCGTCCCACAGTCTTAAAACTTTCCCCCTACCATTTTCATAAAGCCCTTCTCAATGAGGAGGACAGACAGACAAGTCAGTTATGGACCAGCCACCATATTCTTCTCATGGAGAGGCAATGAATCGTCATGATGGTCAAGGGCACAGGTCCTGGAGCTAGGATGCCTGGGTCCAATCTTGGCTTTACCATTTTACAAAGGTACACAGGACTTATAGAAATTTAATCTCTGTGACTTAGAGCCTCATCTATAAAATGAGGGTAAAATTACTATCTCATAAATTATGTGTTATTATATATAAAGTACTTTAGTGATTTTTTATATTATTTTCTGGTTACTTATTAAGAAAAATTAAAACATACTCAAGTACAGAGGATGGTATAATAAATACACTTGGCAGTTAGTTTCAACATTTATTAACGTTCTGCCTAACAGAGCATTTTGTACAATACAGCCATGTAGCAAATACTCAAATGTACATCATCCAAGCTCGTACACTAGCAATATTTTCCCTTACGTATACTGCTCACATACCATGAAATACTAGGCATTCAATTGAACATTAATGACTTTGCCATCAACAGCTTACAATGTTATCTATCATAGGACCTCAGCATCACATCAATTCAAAATACACTCTATCCCCAACCTATATCAAACATTACTTTGGAAACTCTGGAAACTCTTGAAGCTCTAAATTTGGAAGCCATTGTTTATCTCAAGAAATAAGTTCGAGCTGAAATCGGTTTGGCTCAGTGGATAGAGCGTCAGCCTGCAGAATGAAAGGTCCCGGGTTCAATTCCGGTCAAGGGCATGTACCTTGGTTGCGGGCACATCCCTAGTAGGGGGGTACAAGAGGCAGCTGATCAATGTTTCTCTCTCATCGATGTTTCTAACTCTCTATCCCTCTCCCTTCCTCTCTGTAAAAAATCAATAAAATATATTAAAAAAATAAAGTAGTTTTCAGACTACCTAAGAACTACTCTTTCCCTTTTTACATGAACTTTATATGACCCATTCACTTTGTGTACCGATTTTTAAAAATATATTTTTATTGATTTCCTAGCCACTGAGCCAAACCAGTTAGGGCAGTGTGTACCTCTTTTTAATGGCTATTTAACTCTTAGTTGGTTGACTCAATCCTTAGGGCAAGTGTTATGCATTACACTTGTTGATACTATTGGACATTTTCTCCCTCCTATTAAAAAAAAAGTTGATTTCTAGGTTTCATTGGAAACTAAAAACTATTCAAGACACTGTGCATCTAACCTTGGCATATAGGTAAAAGTTTTAGACTCTTATGATAGCCACGTTTTATAAAAGGCACTCACCACCAGCGATTTTAAGAAAATCTTCACCTGTTGCTTTGTAAACCTAGGGAAAGAAAGGGAAATTAAGATGTGGTTTCTGAGCCTTCTCATGTGTGTGCTCAGGATGTCAGGGTCCCAGGCTGTGAGGACATACCTCTATGTACCGGGTCCCCATGTGGTGTTTGTGCCTCTGCAGGGCGAGGTCTCTGTGCTCCTCGCTCACAAATCTCACCAGCGCCTCTCCGTTCCTCCGGCCCTGGGCATTCAGACAAAGCGCTGCACCTCCCCTTTGGAAAGAACAGAATAGGGAGCGGTAGAGAGAGAAGAAAAAAAAAATACAGTCAGGGGAAGATGATATGCAGTCCATGATCCCTTTGGGATGGTTAAGTAAAACCGAGATTGGAGAAAACCCACTTGGCAATATTGAGTCCTTTGAAAAATCTTGCAATATCTTGATCCGAAGACTGCCACGGCAAACCCCGGGCTCTGACGACCGTGTTGTCATCAACAAGTTCCATCTTGCTGCTGTGGATCGAGCAAAACTTCAGGTGGCATGACTAACGCTAGGGAGTCTGACCCATCACCTCCCGTAAGACAATTTGCCTAGTTACACATGAATTATTATTTTATTTTTATTTTTTGGAGTTTGGACAGACTTTTAATATTGCCTCGTTTGCTGTGTAAAATCAAAAATCATCTGGGCACAATTCAGTTAAGTCTAGGTGGCTCACTATAGAAAGACAGCCAGCGCCCCCTGTGAACCCTCCCCTCCGTCCACGGAGTTGCTGCGTGCCTGCCGTCCGCACCAAGGGACCCGGGATCGATTCTCAAAGATGGCTTGTCCATTCCAGAGCCAGGAAGGGCAGGCTTACATTCATTCTCAGAACTGGCTGGTTCCCCAGCGGGTTTTGTTCCCACTTTGATAGCAAAATATAAGGCGTGCCATAAAGCGGGCAGTTAACCCCCATCAGGAACATGCGTGCACGGTCACAGCCGTTAAGACACTTCCTCTCTCAAACAGGGGAGCCATCGCGGAGCACAGAGTGCCGATAGAAATGCCTGGGAGTGCCCGCACCCCACTAATGAGTCATTTGCAAATCACCTATGATAGGTTTTGACATCTTCTGATGTTCTAGTCCTCCCACATTCATGCTTTCAGTCCTCCTAGGACATTTTCCTAGTGAGTCACTTTCTCTACAACTTAATGAGCCTCCAGAGTCTCTGTGGGCAGAGACGCCAGAAGTTCCTGTTCCTGTCAGGCACTGGGCAGTCTCACACAATTCACCGCCGAGATTTACAAGCTTAAGTCGGCCTGCCTGTGATCGCAACGAGATACCGCCGTCTCATACTCCTCCCTGGTTATTTCCTCTGCTTTTAAGTAGAAGCCGATAGGACATACTTGAAATTATCTCAGGAAAGACCTTGTGAACTCTCTGAAAGCCTATGATTTCCCGCTTTGGAAGTTTTCCAGGGAGAGACTGGATAGTTCCGAGAGGCCACAATAGTCACAGGCACACACATACGCTACTGTACACAGGGTCCTATTTCATTGCATGTCAATCCTGACATCCAAGCACACTTAACGATAAACCTTCTTCCCTGACATCCAAGCACACTTAACGATAAACCTTCTTCCCTGAATGACCTGCTATTGAAAAATGGACAGCCAGCTGAGACAGGTTTGGCTCAATGGATAGAGCGTCAGCTAGGGGATTAAAGGGTCCCGGGTTCGATTCCAGTCAAGGGCATGTACTTTGGTTGCGGACACATCCCCAGTAGGGGGTGTGCAAGAGGTAGCTGATCGATGACTCTCTCATCGATGTTTCTAGCTCTCTCTCTCCCTTCTTCTCTGGACAAAATCAATAAAATATATTAAAAAAAAGAAAAGAAAAATGGACAGCCAAAGTATAAAGGGAGTTACATGTCACAAAAATGAATAAAACCAACCGAAAGGCTCAAACACTTACCAAGTGCCGCTTTCAAATTTGTAATGGACTCTCTCTGGGTCTGAAAACCTGTGATCTAAAAAATGAGAGCACACACGTCATCATTTTAGCAATGAGAGAGATAAGGCCATGGAAAGAAATTCAAGAGTATAGGTGAGGATCAAATTCTAAATGTTCGTTGTGACGACAGCGATACTTACTATAAGGCTCTGAAATCATCGCTATAATTATATTCCCCATATCTTCAACTTGAGAGGCTCCATACCGGGACGCTGAACTATTCTTCTCAAAATTTAAACCTGGCAGATTAAGTCAAGGACACATTTGGGGGAGGTAAAACGAGGTTGATTCTAACTTCATTTGTGACACACACAGATCTGAGAAGCGAAGTAAAATGTACCCAGGTGGACAATTCTTTGAAATCTCAGAATACCTGCATTCCACCAGTCTGGACCTCACCCTCACTTCCTGAAGTCTCCCACGCTCTCCTGCGTAAAAATGGCCAAATAAACCCTGTCCTGAGGTACAACCAGCAACAAAATTCGTTTGTTGAATAGTAAATGCCTCCAACACTGAGACTTTTGTTTAGTTTCTCAAACCATGAAGTATTCAACAAAATGTACAGAACTCATCCTCTATATCGTTTCAGCACACACAAGGCAATGACTATGCCGATTCAAAGATATGCTTACATCCGTTAAGATCATAAATGTCTTTTTTTAAAGCCGCATGTTGAAAAAATCAACAAAAACATATTTAAAAAAAAAGATTTTCCCTAATAGATGGTTGAAGCTCCTCTCTTTAAGGATTTAATAAATCGCGTAGGACCATTAGGACATGTACAAATAAAATCCCACCCCCATTTGATAAGAGAAATAGAAGCCAATTAAAGCCAGATAAGCTTTTTCTTTTTCTATTGCTTACTTCCTCTTCCCCTCAAAGCACAAATTTCTTTATAACAAAACAAAAAACACTCCCTAATACAATGGCACTCTATCTTTCCTCAAGTTTAAAATGAAAATAGTGTCCAACAGGTATGTAAAAACTGTTCACCATTGGGTGGGGTGGGGAATCAGATGGAGGGGAGTTATGGGGGGGGGGGGAGGAACACCTGTAATAATCTGAATAAAAATTTGTTATATTTTTTTTAAATGTTCAACATCACTATTGGAAAAATTGAAGTAAAAAAACAATCAAAACCATAATGGTCACCTCACATCTGTCAAAACAGCTATTATAAGGGAACTCTCTCTTACACTGTTGGTGGGGATGT